AACAAAACGGCATAACTAACACCGGACACGATACTGTATGTTGCAAGGCGGGTGGTTTTGACGCCAAATTCTTAGATTATTTCGTTTATGCTCTACTTTCAAAGCACACAAATTCAAATGGGTACGGGTTAAAACGTTTTAAAATATTTTTCGCTCAAGTAAGCGTGATATGTGAGTATATGTGATATGTGAGTATATGTGATATGTGAGTATATGAAGATATTGCCGATGAGCATAATTATGGTAAATACGGTATTTAAAAAGCCATAAATGTTTACGAAAATATTGACAATTTAACACGATAGTTTATTAAAGTGGATACTTTTAAATCAAGTGCATTACTGTATTGAAAATCTCTCTTATAAATGATTTCATTTATCTCCGTATACCTTTCACCTTTAATCTACGATCTGTTTTTCATAGATTGGTTAAAGATATTGATAAAGATATCATATTTACTAATAGGATAAAGCTATAAAGACATTGAACATTGACAATATGTCATTGCCCAATGAATGGGCTTATTTTTAACATACATAGACAAATTGACATTTTCCCTGATTTTTGTACCATTTTTATTTTACTTTTTTCATATAAGAACCCATTCGGAACTGCCTCGGCTATTATCTATCATAACCTCGGAAACAATACGGATTGAAAGTAGTTCTACCACGTGGTTTCAGATGTAAACAGAAACAGAGATAATGTAAAACGAATGTATATATTTGACATCTAATGTCTGTTCCGGTACTCTTTTGCTTGAAAATAAGTCTGACAACAATTTAATTGTAATTTAAATATGCCCCACTGATGTTCAATTTTAAACAAATCCGACGGTTGTTTTTTGTACTTTCGGTTTCTACAACCATAAAAATAAATATATAAATAATGTATTGTTTGCTTTTGTACCTATGAATTCACTTATTTTAGGTGGACTTTTACTACATTTATTGGAAATAAACTTGTCAACAACTCCCAGCATTAAATTACTATTTGTTTACATGTTTAGTTTCTTAGCGTAGGTTAGACCGAAATACCACATCCGTTCTGTGTATTCATACTATTGTGTTCGAGGTCCTTATCCGAAGACTGAAGGAAAGGGCCGAGTAGTTGCGATTGATAAGAACCTAAAATTATGCTAAATTTTTTGCTGCAATCAAACGTGGAAATATGTTGCTTTTTCTCGACTAATTAAAAATCGACTTACAACGTATACAACAGTTACACTTATTACGATATATCGATAAAACGAATAACTCCATATAACAACTATGTTGATATTGTTATAACCGATGTTCGTGTTAAACAGTATATAAAAACCTCTATGGCAAATAAATGAAAAAGTTGCAAAAAGACATTTCTCCTGAAGGTTCTAATATGATTCAAAAGTTCAGCAGCGGGAATTCGTTCTTTCTTTATATTTGCAGGAATTAGCTTTAAGTTTTCCTTTTTGTCATGAAAAAGCAAATCTGAGAATTAAAAGCACCTTAGAAGGTGCTCTCTGCAAGTAGATACATAAAAGAGAATGTTTAAACATAATATCGTCTGAGAACAAATCGTCCTATTTATAATTCAAATGAAACCATTAGCTTGATAGATAAATCACTTTTGTAATACAAGTCAGAAATGTAAGAATTACCTTATTTACCTCAATTTAGTTTTATATTAAGTATTCCTCTAATTTTAATGTGGTATTGTTAATCTAGGGTGTAGAATTTGCCAGACTGCGTGTAAGGGTATGCTGACCTGGCTCTATAATTATGGTGAAATAAGCATTTGTCATTATTAACGTTTCATCCAAAGGCACATTATGCCTCAAAAACGAATAAAGGTTTCTTTCTTCCGAAAAGCAAACTAGAGTTTTATAACGTTAAAATAATAGTTTTAGAGCTTGTTACGTGCTTATCATCTGAAGAAATTAGCGCAAGATGTAAAATTATTTGTCATAAAAGTAGCTAAACATAAACAAAGTAGTATTTTGACTGGATCATACATAGTACCTAGTTACTATAACTGTACTAATTGCAAAAAAAAACGCAACAAAACAAGACGGTAATTTAATTGGCCAATAAGTAGTTTTTTGAAAGCTATAATAGGACACCAAACAAAAACAGCTTTTAAGAAATAAAGATTAAATCATTACTGGTTCATTATGGGCGTTTAAAGCATTTACTCACGGGTAATGGCCAATGCAGCGCTTATTCATCGTGCAAAATATATAGTTTTTTTATGGCTTTGGTCTTGCATTGACGTATAAAAAAACATTGTTTCTATGGATTCATTACAATATCAGTATACATGTATTCGCGACTTTATTAGGATTTTAACGGTAGTAGGTTTTCTTGAAGTCTTACATAACCTGGTTGTTAAATTTTAACAGACAATTTACAAGATATTTATAAACTTTACCATGATAGCATTATTCTATTAGGAGTTTAAATTATAACAATCGACTTGTAAGATTTCTAACCATGATTTTCAGAAAAGCAAAGTAAGTGTACTTTTATGTGAAACTATTTAAGAAAATTAATTAAAGTTTTTATCAATTTTCAGTGAATTTATAGAAACAAAAACAATAACAGAATTTCATTTTTCTTGCTTTATTCTTGATTCTAGGTGTGGCATAAAAGCCAAGTTATATCTATTTGAAAGCTTTTGTGTGTGATTAATGACTGATTTTGCAGTATTTATCACCATATTTCTAGTGGGTAACTAACGCAGTAAGGGCTATTTTTTCCATATTTTTGACCTGGTATTTTACGTGGATTGTAAGCGCCGTTAGCAATGTGTAAACTAACAGCTGTGTTCACTTCACAATAGTGTACTTTAAAATACATTTTCAAAATTGTCATGAACCTGGAGGCATGCTGCTTTAAACGAGCATAACGCATTTATATTCCAGAACAAAAGCAACAACAAAATAACTTTCTATAATATAGAATTTAAAGAACTATGTGTAACATCAGATGGCTTTGGTAGCTAAACTCTTAGTTCATATAAATAGAGCACATGTGTGTTTCAAGTATTTTGATTTAATTTAAGTTTTGTCGACTGTTATATTGAGAAACATAATTGAGCCGTGCCACGACAAAACCAACATAATGGGTTTGCGACCAGCATGGATCCAGACCAGCCTGCGCATCCGCGCAGTCTGATCAGGATCCATGCTGTTCGCTATCAGTTTGTTTACTTGTTATAGGGTCTGTAAGCGAACAGCATGGATCCTGATCAGACTGCGCGGATGCGCAGGCTGGTCTGGATCCATGCTGGTCGCAAACCAATTATGTTGGTTTTGTCGTGACGCGGCTCAAATGAAGATTTATCAATACAGTATGTTCCAAAAAGCATTATATGTAAAGAGATTACCGCATTTACATTGCATGTTAATAAAGGGAGGTAAATTTAAATTTTATTTTCTATAAAGTTTAAGTCATTTTTTTTTTCAATAAGAAATGAATAAATATATTTTAATGGTTACATATAATGCGGACAAATATATGCAGTACATATTTTACATATTCTTCGATGTTTGAAAATTGAAGCATAATTATATACATATATAAAATTTCACTTAAGTGTGGAAACAACCTTAATTACAGCATACAGGATCTTTTACTCCAAACCATGACAACTTATTAATACATAACCGTTTGATAGTACACGACTTGTCGTTCGGATGCTTTTTAAATTTATCATTCAGACACATATTATGAATTAAATGGATTATTGTTTGTCCTAACTTCAAACCATACATTAAAACTGATACACAATAAAGCACTTAAATAGCATCTAGTTATTTCCCTATATAGAGCGTTCTTTGTTATTAAATGCTAGCAAATTTCTCAAAGTTATTTTTATCTGTTGTCAAGTATTGGCATCATCATTCAACTATCACATGTCCAGCAATTAGAAATACGATATTTAACCTAGCCAGCAATTATTTAAATCAATTTCCCTCTTTTGTTATTTGTTACTAATCCATATATTTCTATTGTTCGAGTTATCCGAGGTTTTATAATTCGATTGTTACCAATCAGGGTTAAGACAAACTCCATGCAAGAATGTCTCTTTTAAAGATAATTTCATAATAACATATTCTAATTGATCGTAATTTCACTTCTAAAACGTGCGTGTAATTAACCGCGTTATTGGTGAAAAATGATATGTGTTTTTAAAGTTATTACGTGTGTAGCTGTGACCCGAACAGTGATTTTCTAAAAAGATAAACAGCTAAAAAGTTCAACAAAATGTATGATATTGGGAAGTATTGTTGAAAAAAAAAAATGTGATAGTTTTCAATTAAAGGATATTTATTTTAGTTCTGATATAACTCATCTGGTATGTAAGTGGCATCATTGATTGATTTTGATAATTGCTTATTTCTTTTTCTTTCGCTTATAGGTATATATTGTATGGGCATAGTATATATATTTAGTATTTCTGTTTAAGGTTGTGTTTACATTAACTTAAAATTTTGTTCTGTCAAATTAAGGATAGTATATTTTGTTTGGAAAAGGATAAGGTACAGTAAGTTGACCTGAAAAGTATGCTCTGTCGGAAAAAGGGCGAATTAAGCTTTAAGGTCAGCTTTGTCGAAAAGAAATGGTATATTAAACTTTTTGAAAGAAAACGGTGTATTTAAATGTTGTCCTTTCACTGTTTTAGAATCTATAGATTCTTTTGTCAAACATTGGAAGCTCGACATCTCTAATATACTGTTATTAAGACCCAGAAATTTATCAAATTCTGTCACTTACTTAAGCAATGGTACAAAACATAAAGCGAAAAGTAATTATAAGAGTTCAAGTACTAGTATGTCATTTCTGCGTACTCATACTGTATGTGCAATCTGTTTCATAACATTTGCAAGTCAAATCAAGTCAAGTCAATTATTTTTTCTTGGCATCTATATAACAGTATAAGCTATGTATAGCTTTGACCGACAAATATCGTTTATAACAGGTTCATAGTCATGTTTTTATTTTACTTTCTATTTTCAGACAGAGAAAGATGTCGGAGAAGCTCTCGGAGTGGCTTGACCAGTACACAGAAGTCAGTCAAAAACAACAGGAGTACCTGAAACGGATTTACGACCTCCGCCGAGGACTCGAACATAATGACAAACGCGTCATATCTACGATCGACAAAATGCGAGGCGAACATAAATCAAAATACCGTAGAAAGTACCCTCTTTATTCTCTCACGCGCATGGAGGAGGCGCAAGTGAATCAAGGTCCCGCCCCTTTTCCGAACAGACCGTCTTTATTTCATGACGACAAACACGGAATTCCGAGGCTAAAAATAGCTCCGCGCACATCTCCTCGAAAATTGGCGCCAATTGTCACGCGCGTTGCAACGGACAAATATAGTAGGAACTTAGAACCGATCGGGGTCCATCAGTTGACACCGAGACCGGAAATGGCATCCATGAAAACGGAATATGAAACTTTTGAATCAATAGCAAAGAGAAATAAACTTAATTTGACCCAGTTTTTCAACTCCTCATTGAGCCACAGGCGGACACACCAAAGATTACCTATGAACGTATCAACGGTTACAATTTTAGAAGAAAAACAGGAGGATTTGGAGGCTAAAGAGTTTATAACTGATTTATCATCCCGGAAACCAGTTGTTATAAATACGACAAAGGATCAGAAATAGGGATATAAAAAAATCATTACCATGATAAACGTGCCTTACTAGTACATGTACTTTGAATATGGAAATATTCGTCGTTAATGAGGCGGGATTTTTAAATGTTTAAAATAAGAATCAGAATAGTGCCGTCAGTCTGTATCAAATTACAGAATGGCCTGATTACATTGGCAAGTCAATATTGCATTTAATAATATATAACCAGTGTTGTGAGTGACGTCACACTTTCGCCAACATTTGTAATTCACGTGCATATTTGACGTCTCAGATGCCTGTCGTAGACAAGAATCGCTGAGGGGATAGGGGTTGCGCACAGCGTATACCACAAGTGGTTTTTGTTGTGTTATTTTACGATAATAAATATATCTACGCTTCACTTCAATGAAATTATGCACGTTATTCACGTGAACAGTGTTGTTACCTGTTTGTTTTCTGTTATTTCAAAAAAATATATTAACTTTCATTAAAATTTATACGTATGCTTACTTTCTTTTCTTTTGATAAAAGTGTTGTGATAAATTGGTTGAAAACTTCTTGAAAATTATTGGTCATCTACATGTATATGGCATGTATCAAGGCCATTTGATATCTTTGCTTGGTGTCATATTATTTCTTTGTAGGTTTTCTTTTCCTTTTTGTCTTTCCGAAGTTCTGTTCATCTTGGTGGCTTTAGCAGCTACCTATACTAACTCTTGCATTGTATCATGAAAATGATCGATCAAGGCGAGTCTGGATGTAGTTTTCATGTAATTACATGTACATGTATGTTGTTTCATTGCTTCCGAGGGATCACCCTTTTCCAAGGTTTTTGTGAATGATTAAAAGACAAAGACAAAAAGTATCATTACGTTGGCTACTAGTTCTATTTAAAGTCATGACTATTGTCATACTCGATTTGTCTCCCTTTGATTATCTGAAGAACTGATAAAAATGTTATTACCCCTATTTTTTTGTAATTACATAGATAATCGCTTTTGTAAGTAAATAGATAACAGTACTTTATCACACTAAAAATCTGAAAAAATAAAACCCTATAGCAATAGAAACAGTGTCCCAATGAAATATTTGTTTGGGATAATAAAAAAATAACAGTAACAGGAAAACTATCATTCCTCGGGTAACAGTATTTTCCTCGGGATGATATTTTTACTGTTACTCACAAACCAACAAAATGTATGTGTCATTTACATGTATATAATATCAACGAGTATAATACCAGAAATACTTATATAGTCATGAAAATTAAAAGACGAACTTATAACCTAACATTAAAATTTAAGCGCGGTCCGGACGAAAATATTTATGTTCGGGACTGCATCACCTAATTTGAATGCATCTTATCTTCGTTTGTTGCTATTTTCTAAAAGAATTTACTTGATTCCAAAACACTTTGTATTTGCATGAACTCACCGGGAATTATAATGTGTGAACATTACCACTTTCCGAAAGAACGTATGTTATACCATGTAACGGTATTTTAGAGTAATGTAATAAGTTTATCTTTAGGCACAAATGTAAGCATTTGAAAATTTACCGATTAAGACGACTAAATGAATGTTTGACACAAGATTTTTCAGAACTGTATCATCTTCTGAACACGAATGTACATTGTTCTGTATGATTTGATCTGTCTGTATCAGTTATGCGTATTTCAAATTAGTATTGTTTTTCCAGTTTCTTAAGTTTGCCAATTTTTCAGACCCCGGCCCGCAAGTTCAGTCTCTCAGTCGGAATATGCACTAAGCAGGGGTCTTTCAACCTCAAGAAAACGAGACTGGGTGGTGTGTGACATAAACGTGCCCGGTGGAGCACTTGATTCAAAAAAGTAACATGGTGTGCAGGGAGTCATGCTAATGTATGCGTGACCAACTTAAAAATAAAAACACAACATAATTTGTGACCCTGGTTATGTGATTATATGTATCGTGCATGCAAAACGTGGTCTATGTCCCCTACCTTGAATATTAATATTTTTTGTCAAAAACGTGACATGCACGTGCGCAGAAGCGTGTTTAGTTTATTAAGTGCAGTTTACTTTAACATAACGTGACAGAACATATGTTTATTAATAAATCGTATGCGAACAGCACATTGATTAAACAATAAGAGTTTACATGTATCTCTTAAAAGTATGTAATGAGAGCATATACAAGAAATGAATTGACCTAGATATATACATTGCCTAGCTATATATGTGGTAAATTTGAGAGATTCTAACTATTCATACACAATTATGATTATGGAACTGTTAGACATGGTAATGGTTATCCAATATAACACTATATTTGAATTCAGTATCTTAATTGTCTAGTTTGTATTTAAGACAGTTTTTCTTTCTTCAAACGTTTTGATTAAATATTTTGCCAGGTTATATTAAAGATGCACATCACCGGACGATATTAACTCAGTGAATATAATTAAATGTGGCCTGTGATATATGTTGGATTCTTATGTTATAATACACTGGGCATTCTGATATGAAATGGAATTCATCTTCCATTGTTCGTTGAAGGCATAATTTGCGCAAACGCTCGTTCCTAGGAATGTTTCTATGCCTACCGTGTTCAATTTCAATGCAATGAGAGGACAACCTTTTTTTCTGTAATCACATGTCTATATACTTATTTTCTAGCCATGTTAAGTATTCTGCCAATCCACATATTCATCGTAAACCTCTTTGTTTGAACATTGACATAAATGCGTTAATATCTACCGAACGCGGATATAACCATACGTCTCCAAAGTCATATTCATCTAGTAGTTTCTTCACGTTGGCAGCGCAGTTTTGCTGTCCATTTTCAGCTGTTTGCAACATTGGCTCATATACATTCCAGACAATACAGTTCCGTTGTTCGTTGTGTAATAGTTTCAACCAAAATTTACAATCATAATTCGAACTTTTATGTTTAGAAATAGTGGATGCCTATACCCGTTTCACGGTATATGCCATGGGTACTTGTTGATAATTTCACATTTAGGAATGGCTTTATGAACTGTCGGTGTACACGTTCCATGACATCTGCAGGTGAAAAAGCCTTATTTCAGCACTATAACAAAGAATACAAGTAACATATGCGTTTATTAACGTGTTTGCGGTAGCACTCAAATTTTTAATGTTGTTGAATTCGCATGGAAACGCGTTTTAAATGGACAAAAGCCTAAAATTTATGATACAGTAATTCCTGTTTGGGACTTAATATATCCTAGTTACGACTTTTAAAAGCCAAATTATGAACAATATCAATTGCAGCAGTTCATACAGAATGCATATACATGTGTAATCACTGCAATTGTACATTGTACACTATCATTGGGGAAATATCGAAACTACTATATCGTCATATGGGTGTTTAATCCTCATGTACATTAATCTTAAATTGAAGCACTTTCCCAAAGAGGTTAATTATAGTCCCCTCGAACCTCGGGCGTTCGCCACATTTGCAATGCCAATAATGGTCAAATTATCATAAAATAATCACCCCTTAATCATTAAGACCAAAATTACTATCCAGCACCCGTTTACTACTAGTATATAAAATATGTTCAAGGCATGTAACTCGACGCAGCGTATTCACCTGACACGGTTAACATTTATATAAAGTATGATGATCAAGGGGTGATTATTTTATTATAATTTGACCATTATTGGCATGGCAAATGTGCCTAACGCGTGCCTCGAACATGACCTCCAAATCCCTCTTGAGGCGTTATATTATTGGGGAGAAAGCACACGGCAAGCAAGTGTCAAATCAACCTTAGTACCAGGGATCATTGGTTGACATTTATGGCCCACACAGGAGAATGGCGCTACAAAGGGACGTTCTGAAGATGGGGTTATCGTCTATACATACCGCCAACGAACGCAGAATAAATTACGACAGCAGATCGACTGCATGATAAGCCGCCGACGAAAAACAGCACTGGACCGGTAAGATACAGGTCTACGTTCAGGCCAATATGGGTAAGTCCCGACAGCCTGTATAAATAGAACTAATAAGAAAATATGATTATATTACATCTTTTAGTATGTTAAATAGCCCAAATATTTGTTTGTGCAGGAAGAACTCTAGTATCCTTCCGTGCATTTATTCATGTGCCGACATTCTTGATTAATGAACCTTCATCCAACAACTGGTGGACCAAAATGCAACCTTAACTTGCCTACCTTTTGTTAATTTTCGGTAACTTTTAACGTGGTATCGGTAGGGCAGGCAATTGATTAGAAGTCAACATAAGGATGTTAATGGAAACTTGTTCAAATACATTGCATCCAAGTACATCAATAACCAATCATATGCATGTTTAAAGAAATGCATTGACGTGTCATTAACAATAATGCCCACATATATAGTGGTTAGACCTGAAACAAAAATTCCACAAAGATGTGGTACTCGAGTGATACTTAGAGAAATTATACGTACATGCTCGTGAACGTCACTTTTCGTACAACTAGATCACTACATGAAAAGTAATCTGTAAACGGATATGTTGCAATTTTCATTTTGTTCGATGGATTGCAAACTTGCAGAAAACATTTTCAGTGTTGTCATTTTTTTTTTGTCCTTCGGGATCATTGATCTCAGCACGTTACAGTCTACAGAGATTGCCGGTTCTATGGACGTAAGAGATGTTGCAATTTAACATTATCTCACATGAACAGACTCAATCAAACTGAGCCTACAATTTTCATATGAGCCGTGTCATGACAAAACCAACATAATGCGTTTGCGACCAGCATGGATCCAGACCAGCCTGCGCATCCGCGCAGTCTGATCAGGATCCATGCTGTTCGCTATCAGTTTCTCTTCTTGTTATATGGTTTGTAAGCGAACAGCATGGATCCTGATCAGACTGCGCGGATGCGCAGGCTGGTCTGGATCCATGCTGGTCGCAAACCAATTATGTTGGTTTTGTCGTGACGCGGCTCATATAATATTGTTGTTTTCATTGCCTACAAGGGATCTCTGCATTTCGGGATTTTTTTATAAGGCGATCTTGGTAAAATCATAGTAAATTTTTACTTGATACATCAAGCATCCAGTTTTAATGTCTGATTAAGGGCTTATATCCGCAAGAGTCTTTAAATAACAACTCGTGGCAGAAGTCTTTAAACAAATTTCGCAGATTGGTAATAATTATGTATGGTTATACTTTATAAATTATTTTTGTTAACGCAAATTGTGCGATATGTATTTTTTAATCCTGTAAAAATTAATCTGATTTGAATTTATGAAGGTAATAAAATCTTATATGTATCTCCGATACTATCGTGAAACCACATTCGGACCAAGACCTTTTGTCGGACAAATGTGTCTATCATTAAGCATTTCTTACATTTATTTTATACATGTACATGACGATCTTCTTAATACGGCTGGTCAGTAGAGAATTGGTATGCAGTAAATTGAGA